GCGCAACTACAGCTGCAACAATGGCATACTAGATCAATAGCGCTTCTGTTGTAGTCAGTGGAGCGCACAGAATCTTAACAGTGAAGTCGTGTCGTGTTTCAGCCCAGGGGCTGGTTGCATAAAAGGTTTAGACTAGTCTTACAAGTTAGTCATTCAATTTTTTTTCTTTAAGACTGGCCATAATTTTTTTAATTCAGATATATTAAATTGTAGATTAGTAAAAGTTGAATCCAAAAATAAGACTAACTGCTAGTTGGTCGAACTCGTACTTAAGACACAATCTTAACATAGAGGCTAAGTTTATGCAACTGGCCCCTGGTCACGCATCCGTTTGGCTGGAGGTGAAACTTCCACTGTGGTGCCAACACATTGTTTGCTTTGAGTGTAGATCCAGTGAATACTGCATTTGTAGAAGGCTAGTGTTCCAAGCAGACGTTAGCTGCATACAACGTACATTTAAACAAAAAAAAGGAAAAATTCAGACATTTTCCTATTTTTACAGCAATAATATTAGAGAAATACAATGTAATAGATACCTTAATTTAATTCAGGAAGTTTCCAGTCAGTCAAGTTTCTCTCAGGACACAACACAAAATGACCGCTGACAAATGTATCCAGTTTTTACGATTTGGCACAGTTTACCCAACATTGGGGTACACTGACCCAGTGCTGGGTAGGTATGGAAAGCTTCAGATTAAGCCAGCTGAAGTAGCTGATGTTCTCAATAATTATTACATTGATTCAGTAGAAAATATCATTAAGTATTTTACTCCTGAGTATAAGAACACTTTTTGTCAAGTTAGACAGAACCAGCTTTCAACATAGAACCTGTCACTGAGTCAGATTAGATCCCTTAGGCCATCTCGAGCTAAAGATGTCATTGGGATGAATACATGTATGTTGAAAGAGCTTTCTGAAGTATTAGTCAACCCGATTACAAAAATTGTAAATCTTTCATTTACTCATGGGATATTCCTAAATGTGTGGAAATTAGCTGCTGTAATTCCCGTATTTAAAGGAGGTGATTGTCTATCCACCAGCAACTACAGACCTTTTAGTATTTGCCCGTGGTTTCCAAGGTGGCCGAAAAACTAGTTGCAGAACAAATGATAAATAATTTAAATGCCAGTGCTTATCCTTTACACCCACATCAGTTTGGTTTCCGTACAAATCACTCAACAGATACAGCCAATTGCTATTTTATAGAAAAAGTGAAGTTATTGTTGGACCGAGGAGGGGTTGTCGGTGCCGTCTTCCTAGATTTAAAAAAAGCCTTCGATACCATTAATCATGGAATTCTCTTATCTAAATTGAATGCATTAAATTTTTCTGTAGACACCATTAAATGGGTAAAATCATATTTAACACATCGGACTCAGTTGGTTAGAGTGAAGAATTATCAATCAGGTGTTGTTTCTTTGTCAGCAGGTGTCCCACAAGGTTCAATCTTGGGCCCACTTTTATTTTCTCTGTATGTAAATGATTTGCAAAATGTTTGTTTCAATTCCAAAATCCAGATGTATGCTGATGACAGTACACAGTAGTTTTTGTACAAGCTAATAGTGCAGCTCAAGCTGCTAATCAGCTAACAAATTCAGTGTTAAAGATCACGGAACGGCTAAAACATAATTGCTTACAACTAAATGTATCGAAAACTGTATGTATGTTTTTCAGTAAAACTAAAAGTTGCCGTGCGGAGACAGATGTAGTCATAGATGGTGAGAGACTACAAGTTGTCTCAGATTTTAAATATCTGGGTGTATATACTGATAGCAATCTTACTTTTAAAACACACATCAAGAAGGTTTGCAATCACATTAAGTTCAACTTGGCAAATTTTAGATATGCCCATAGCTGCATGTCAACTAGGCTGCGAAGATGTTTATGCATTCAATTATCTTCTCACATATCACCTATTGTTTGACAACCTGGTCACAAGCGAATAATACTTCTCTCAAACCAATTCTCTCTTTATATAAACAAACTTTGAGAGTTTTAGATAGGATATCCATACACCATGCATCATCACTGTGATATTTAAAAGAAAAATACAATATTTTAAGTTGGGAAAATTTGATTATATATACAGATCTTTGTCTTATGTATAAAATCAGATATGGACTGGCTCCTCCTGTATTGAGCCAGTTTGTAAACGTAGCACCATCAGGTTACAGATTAGCGAGAAGTGCAGTAAGAGGTGATTGCATAGTCCCTTTGAATACTTATGCCTCCTTTAAGTTTCCCTTAAAGAAGTGGTTAATTGAGAGTCAGCACTATCAACATTAATTTTATAAACTAAACTCTGCTGCTGTCTTGTCTTTTCTGCTCTACTAGTTTGAGATTTTTGCTATATGTGGTTGTTTGGTTTAGTACTGATTGAATGATTAGGGCTACTGTTACTTGTCTGTATGCTTGCATTATCTTTGCGTGTATATTGATATTATGATATTATTGATACATTGTCATTTTGTTTGACAGTTGGATTGTGTGTGTATGAGTAAGCTGGTATTGATTTGTTGGTTCTATGTATAGTATAACTTTTAAGCTGATGTTTTTTTTTTTGTTTGTTTTTTAGGAATAGTGTGAATGTTATATGCATTTTGGAGTATGTAAGTATTATGTATTGATTAATTCTTTATATTTTAGGGTGACAATTTTACCATCAGTCCAGGGACTGCAGATGCAAAATAGCCTTCTGGCTAATTCTGGCACATTGTACGTTTATGTATTATTGATGTGCATTGTCCCTGTCAAATAAACCTGAAATAAATAAAGACATACATA